GAATGTATCCAAGGATGATAGTATATTTGATGTTTTTGTTACTGATGGTTTCAGTGATGTGAATATGCAGAGCCCAAGAGATAAGAAAGAAAATTGGGAAGATTACTCTTCTGATGAAATGTTATCACAGCTATGGTCAGCAGCAATGGATCCTGTGAAAGGACACAATTGCTTATCTGTTATAATCAGTTTCTTTACTGAAGTTAGGGACTATTGTGTTTCTACTTCTTATAGTGAAAAGAAGCATCCCGAGAAAACTGGGGGTAGAAGGGGTAGGAAAAGGAAAGTTGACAATCAGTTTTCTGTGTTGGAGATGACAGAACTCGATCACATGCAGGACTCTTACTGGTCTGACTTGATTTCTCACAGTGGCCCTGCCAAAAGCAAAGGAGAAGCCCAAACTCGGAGTCAGAGAAAGAAGAGGAAGTCTTCAGGACAAACGTCATCGACTCTTGTACTGGTTCCTGTTCTGCAAGGTGCAGAACATATTCATGTTGGAAAGATAGTTCCCAATATAAGGCAAACAGCACCAATAGATAGGCCAATAATTAGTGTGGAAGAGAAGATGGTTGATGAGTTCATGCCAACTGCATTGGTTTTGAATTTTAATGGATCAAGTTCTCTTCCTTCTGAGACTGATCTGATCAGAATTTTCAGTCGTTATGGACCCCTAAAAGAAGCAGCAACAGAAGTGCAGCAGAAGAACAACCGTGTGGTAGTAGTATTTAAGCGACGTGCTGATGCAGAAATCGCTTTCAGCAATGCAGGGAAGTATAGCATTTTTGGGCCATCACTTTTAAGTTATCGGCTTAGATATTTTCCATCAACCCCTGATGCTTTTCCAGACTCCAAGCAACTAGACAAAACGGATGCACTACCAGTAGAAAAGAGCAATTTAAACACCCCAGCTAATGTTCATCCATCAATGTCCATTGCTTCTCCTGACACCGGTCTTCGAGACAAAAGTGATACGGTACTCATGGGGAGTAGCAGCACAAACATTCCTGTTGATCTTCATCCATCAATGTCCAGTACTTGTCCAGACACCAATCTACAAGACAAAAGTGATCTAGTGCCCACAGAGAATAGCAGCGCAAATGATCCCAGTGACCTTCATCCATCAATATCTGACGCTTATGCAGACACCAATCTCCTTGACAAAAATGGTGCAGCAGTACTCGAGCTTAGTGACCTTCATCCACTGATGTCTGATGGTTCTCCAGACACCAATCTACAAGAAAAAAGTGATGCAGTGCCCACAGAGAATAGCAGCGCTAATAATCCCAGTAACCTTCATCCATCAGTGTCCGATGCTTATCTAGACACCAATCTCCTTGACAAAAATGATACAGCAGTCTTCGAGCATAGCAGCATAAGCCTTCCCAGTAACCTTGATGGTTCTCCAGGCACCAATCTGCAAGAAAAAAGTGATGCAGTGTGCACAGAGAATAGCAGTGCAAATAATCCCAGTAACTTTCATCCATCAATGTCTGATGCGTATCTAGACACCAATCTCCTTGACAAAAACGATGCAGCAGTACTTGAGCACAGCAACATCAGCCTTCCCAGTGACCTTCATCCACTGATGTCTGATGGTTCTCCAGATGCCAATCTACAAGACACAAGTGATGCAATGCCCACAGAGAACAGCAGCACAAATAATCCCAGTTACCTTCATCCACCAATGCCTTATCTAGACACCAATATCCGTGACAAAAATGATGCAGCAGTACTTGAGCATAGCAACACCAGCCTTCCCAGAGACCTTCATCCACCGATGTCTGATGGTTCTCTGGATGTCAATCTCGAAGACAACAGTGATGTAATTCTCACAGAGAATAGCGACATTCCTAGCCACCCTTATCCATCAATGTGTAATGCTTCTCCAGACATTAGTCTCCAAGACAAAAGTGACATCACAAATGTTGCTGGTAACTTTCACCTCTCAACACTTGATGCTTCTCCAGACACCAATTTCCAAGACAAAAATGATGGGATACTCAGAGAGAGTTGCAGCACAACCATTCCTGGTAATCTTGATCCATCAACAGTCGATGGTTCTCTAAACAAACCAGAAAATAAGGGTAACGCTGCACCTGTAGAGGATCACGGCATCAACATTTCAGGTAATCTTCATCCATTCGCACCAGAAACTAATTTTGACGCCTTTTTGTTTGATTTCTAATGTAGCTGACTAACCCAATTATCTAGGATATCAAAGAAAATGATTAAGTTTAACCTATCCTGTAAACTTATTGGACATGACTCTTCTTAACCTTGAGCATTTGGCCAGTTTAATCCTTCTTAACCCCAAACCAACTGCGGCCTCAGTAGAAACTTGACATTCTATTTTCTCTTTATCTTTTATTAGTCAGTGTCTTGTTGATGCGCAACATTGGCTTGCAAGAATATACATGCTCATGCAAATGCTTGTTTTGCTTCAGCACAAGCAGAGAGAGAAAGTGTCCAGGATGCTATTGAAGTCATAAGTGAAAAACCAGTTGCAACAGTCACTGATGTGGATGGACAAGCTGGCTAGATCATCTTGGTAGACTTCATGCCCAATATAACATTGAGGTACTACCTTTCCTCGTGATTTATGTCGAAAATGGATTTGGAGCACTTCAAGTGCATGTTGTAGAAATATGTAAGCTGACCCTACCACGAAGAGGATTCTCCTCAAGTAAAATGCTTTCAATTGACTTCGGTTTTGCTCTTATTGATATACCTTTAAGAATCAACATGAGAATGCCTTGTGTACCTGGTTGCTGTGTGTGTAGTCTTAGCGATAGAAAGAAACCTTCTCCTGTGACAAATGGGTGGGACCCAATTCTTGTCTTAAATAATGTAAAAGTGTCATTGAGATGAGATGCTGTCTTGGAGTGCTCCATGGCATTATTCTTTCAAATGGACATAAATTTTGGCTGACGACTCTGGTAGATGTAGCACTTTTGATTCTGCAGTCAGATCGTTTGCTGCTGATATTGTACAGTAGAATGTATCTTTTTATATTTTTTGTTCCTGCCCAAAAGAGATGATTGTTGGTGACTTTTTCTGCATGTGAATGGTCGATTGTTTTAGTTTGCGATTCTTCATTTTCGGTTGCATCCTAATCACATGACTTGTTGAGTCTATTTAGTGAACTTGGATGCACTCTTTGGATGAACAGAGGCTTCCCAAAAAAAGTGTTGTATGGTGAGATTTTGCATGGACTGACTGAGTCGACGAGGATTTTGGGTTACTCTCTTAGGCTTTTGGTCAACGTAGAGTATCTATCTATCCTATTAACAGCATCTTTTCAATCTTGGACTCGTGTGATTACATCATTACTGTGTGTTTCAGGAGTTTTGTGAGATGTTGTTCTTGGGAATTCAGTTTACTGGTGGTACTATTGTAGATTATATGACCCATAGTAACGTGTGCTGCCGGAGGCCGCAGAACCCAAATCCAAATCCCAGACGCACGTGCAGTGTCATGACAAGTAGAAAAAGAATATTGTAGATTAATCGATTAATTGTAGATTAATCGATTAATTGTAGATTAATCCAAATCCCAGACGCACGTACTATTGTAGATTAATTGCATGTTGTAATTATTAGCTGGGTAGTTAGTCAGGAAACCGTACAATTATTAGACAAGAAACAAACACCTCATAATAAATTGTTGGCGGAGTACAATTAATTATTTGGCTAAACAATACAAGCGCGGAGCGAAGGCCCAAATGCATGCATGCTTCGCTGTTTTATCACCGCACTATGATCACATCGAACATCAAACAGAGCCACCGAAGAAGAAGGATGGTGTGTGGATCTGCAGCAAAGGAACTCGTGCCACTCTTACCTTCATCCGAAGCCGCAGCAGACCCCCACCCCACCCCAAGCCTTGGCCATGTAACGCATTCATTCTGTTCTATTCTGAGGATGGATGTGGAGCTCCTCTATCCCACCCCAAACATGAGCCTGCAATTATTGTTTTCGGATTCTTCTCCGACCATTGCTTTCTACACCTCTCCTCCTCGATGGGACCTTCGCATCATCATCATCATCACCTACCTACTCGATAAATATGGAGAGTAGGGAAGGAGTAGGCTTCTCTGGAACCACTTTTCCTCCCCTCTCCCCCCTCCCTTTCGATGATGATCGATGATGGAAGCCAAACCCGAAGGATCTATGTATGTATGACCCAACTGTTTCTTTGAGAAGATGCGTGTCTTCCCCCGGTGACTTCTTTCGCTCTGCCCCCTTTCGATGGTGATGGTGATGGTGATGGTGATGGAGGCCGAACCCAAAAGATCATCCATCACCGACTGTTTCTTCAAGTGGTGTGTCGGAAGAATATTCATTCGTGAGGCGAGAATTCCAAAGAAGATTAAGCTCGAGCTGACCTTCTAAACATAAGATGGTATGTATGTATACATATGTGTTAATAATATCGATTAAACTAATCGATATCTATAGAACAAGTGATATACACACTATATTACATTCGTTGATTGTTTTACGTTCACTCACTTGCACAGTGGATCGCGCATTTCGTCAAGTCACCAAACATTTTTTATCGTAAGATTTTTATCGTCTGCCAAGTGCACTCGCACAGTGATGTGTCCTCCCGACAAAAAAAGACAAAAAAGACGAATGGAAAACCGGAAGACCGACCGACCGACGGTGGCGGATCGATCGATCGTAGTATGTTCGACGCGGACCACGCTAATAATTTTCCCAATACCTTCTTCTTCGGTCATTAATTTAAATCACTATAATAGTCCTTTCAAATAAATAAAGGAGTACAGTTTATAGAAATGATACAAAGAAATAAAATAATATGAACGATTAAACATTGTTAAATAATAATAATAATAATAAACCGATCCCAATAAATAACTCATTGATAAATAAATTAATTTAAAAGAATATTTTGTATATTTAGTAAAAGCCGAAAATGAGGTTAATAAAAAAGTATATAATTCCACTTTGGTTCGTCCTCACGCACCGTGCGTCGCTCCCTGTCTCGCTTCTTCTGTCTGCTCTCTCGTTCGCCTCCCACCGATCCGCCGCTCCGCAAATGGACCGGATCGCCTTCCGCGACCATATCTTCCGCCGAAGATATTTGCTCCTGGCCGCCTTCTGATTCCGCCAAGATTTCTGCACTTTGTCGGCGAGATTCGGGCTCGGTCAAGTATTCGATCGATTGCGCGAGAGATATTATGGAATTCGATCTCAATGTGGCCTACCCCGGCGACTCCCTTGCTGCGGCGCCCTACTCCTTTGAGTCATCGAGCAACGACATCGCTACCGCCGCCGCCGGAGACGAGGACGCGCGCTCCTCCAACGGCGCTGCCTCCGTCTTCTGTTCCGATGTCCTCGGTCGTCCCGCTGAGCCGGTTGTTGACGAGGAGGAGGGATGCGTCTCGCCGGAGCCGGGCATGGCCACGCGGCAGCTGTTCCCTCTGGCCGCGGAGGTTGCTGCGATGCAGCCTCACGTAGCCGTGGACTCGTCCTCCTCCTCGCCTTTGAGCTTTGCCGCTGTTGGCTTGTGGAAGGGAACGACGGGTGGTTTGGCGGAGCCGGAGGCCAACCTGGTGCTGCAGCGGCGGCAGCAGCAGCGGCAGCAGGTGAAGAAGAGCAGAAGAGGACCGAGGTCTCGTAGTTCACAGTATCGTGGAGTCACCTTCTACCGGAGAACCGGGAGATGGGAGTCCCACATTTGGTAAGCGGATTCTTTCTTTCTTCTGCTCCTTGTACTTGTTTACTGTGTTCTAGTTTTACAAGTGGCGATTCTTTTTTCCCTCTAATTTTGAGCAGGGATTGTGGAAAACAGGTTTATCTGGGTAAGAATTCAACTCTATATGCGCTTGATCCGAGGCTAAATTTCTAATCGCATCTGTGTTCTGTGGTTTAACTGTCGAGGTCTGTTTGTATGAAAACTTTAGGAGGCTTCGATACCGCCCATGCCGCCGCAAGGTTTGCTTATTTCCTCCTCCCCTCGTATCTGGTTTGATGGTCTTAATATCTAATGTATTCAGTGGATCATTGCATTGCATTGTGAAGAACAACGTTGCATTTATTATATGGATTTCGTTTACAGAGCATATGATCGTGCTGCGATCAAGTTCCGTGGACTTGATGCTGACATCAACTTTAATCTTAGTGATTACGATGAGGATTTGAAGCAGGTAACCGTGGAAGTAGATATCTTGAAGTTATATGATTGATATGTGCGGCTAAAGGCACGTATGCTGGTCGTGTGATTGGATTTCAGCTGAGAAATTTAACCAAGGAAGAATTTGTACATATACTTCGTCGGCAAAGTACTGGATTTGCAAGGGGAAGCTCCAAATACAGAGGGGTGACTCTCCACAAATGTGGTCGTTGGGAGGCTCGCATGGGGCAGTTCCTTGGCAAAAAGTATGACGTTATTTTAGTTTTTGATGTTTTCTTGAATTGTTCTTGAGTTTGTCTCTTTTATGTACATATTTTTTTTTTTAATTTATATTCTGTGGTTCGACCGTCTTTAAAGTTGGCATCATTCTTTTATCTGATCTGAGGAATCACTCCAAGTTATATGACCATGCGACATGACACAGAGATCATTCTCAGTAGAAATAGCAAGGAGAAAATATGATAGATAAAAGAGAGAATTACAAGCAAGCTGTCTAGATGTTTTCCATCCCGCAGAAAATTCTTAGAGAGGCCATAAAATATTTGAATAAGCAGAGTTTTTTTTTTTCTTTTTTGTTTGGTGGTCAATCAAACAAGTGTGAAACACTGGGTGAATGTGTAAAAGTATATCGAACATATTTTTGTTAAGCCCAAGAAAATTTCTAGTAGGTGAAAAAGACCTTTGTGTTTCTTTCTTTTTTCTGAAAAAGAAAATTAAGCACCGTGTTAACATTTCAAAATATGAATTTTCGTTGCAGGTATATATATCTTGGCTTATTTGACAGCGAAATAGAGGCTGCAAGGTCTGACTCTATCACAACATACATGTGGATTCTAATATGAACCTTTGATTTGTAGATTTTATGAGCTCAAAACCTATTCTTTCTTTTTCCCCTCTTTTCTTTTGGCGTTCAGGGCACATGACAAGGCTGCTATCAAATTCAATGGAAGGGAGGCCATCACCAATTTTGAGCCGAGCATCTATGAAGGAGAGATATCTCTGGCACCTGAAAATGAAGGTATCATCAGCATATGTTGTGCTTGCTAGTCTACCTTATGTACTCTCTACATTTTCCTGTTTCCAAGTAATCTTCAAGTGAAACTGATTTTTTTATTTGTGATAGTTGCTTTTGAGGATGTTGATCTCAATCTGAGGATATCTCAGCCCAACCTCCATTATCCAAAGAGGGATGGTAATTCAGGTGGTACCAATTTCAGTTGCCACTCATTTGAAGCTATGGAAACTGGAAATTCTCAGGTAGATAGTCATCCACCGTTTCCTCTTTTTGGAATATTTCGTCATATGTTGCTATAAGTATTTTCTTCTAATACAAGTCCCCTCCTGACTAATCCCAATTCCTTTTCGCTACTGTAGCAGTAACAACTTAGCTGCATCAATCATTTCATTGCAATTATGTCACTAATAAGATGCACCTAAAAATGAAAAGAGAATCGTGACTTGTTAAATCGAAGTACCTGTAACGACTTTCAAATGAATTTGTATACTACAAGATTATGGAGGTGGAGATAAAAAGGGTAAAGTATTCTGTGCTTGGGTTCTGTGGACGAGGACTCGCTCACTGTGGTGCACCTGCCAGCGCATTAATTCTGTGCTGCATGCTTATTAACTAATTCTCGATGCCGCAATGGTGATCCATGGATCTCATGTCACACCTTCCATTAATGCATAATATACACAGGCCATTTCTAACAAGTGACACTGGTATGCCCTCTTTTGTTTGCTGTTGTAGGCTGAAAGCCTTAATTATCTGAACGTTGGTCCTCGCTTGGCTATGGCACCTCAGCATCCTCATTCGTGGGCCTCTTCTTGTCCGAGCTTCTTTTTCAGCATCGAGGTAAGATCCTGTTATTTGTTATGTCTCTGGTGTTTGGAATTCTTCGTATTAGCATTCCGTATCCATATTAATACCGATAAGTCTTTTTTCCCTTGTGACGGTTTAGCTTGCTTTAAAACCTATCATCTTCCTAGCCATGTTTTTCTACTAGCATATATGTTATGAGTCCTAAATGCTAAAACAACATTCTATATTCAAATATTTCATTGATTACTTTTCTTCATTCATATAGTGACATTCTCGATCATTATTTAATCGGTAGATACAATGAGAACGAGTAGGGCCTTGGCATTTAAGGTGTGTATTGTGTTTCGTGAGAGTGCCATATTTTGTTGTCATCTTTTTTACGTAAACCTTCATCACCCTTTTTCTCTTTACAGAAAAGGATTTGTAGTTAACAGTTTTAAAACTAGTACTTTTTTTTATAGTCTAAGTGAGTTTTTTTTTTTTCTCATTCATCAAATTAAATAATAATAACGTGTCCCGATTATTTGAGATCGACTAAATATTTCTTTTTTCCTTTTGTTTCTAATAAAGTCAGTTTAGGTTGCTGTCTCCAACTCATTGCTACTGATACCAGTAGATTCAGGTGGTCGTCTAATTAAAACATTTATGGACTTTTTAAACATGTCCATATCACATTGGATAATTCTTTCTTTGTTTTATTCTTTATAAAAAAATATGCATAAGGATAAATATTTCTTTTTACAGTTTCCTTATTAACTCTGCTTATTCGCTTCCCATTTACTTATCTGCGGGTAGATTAGGTGATCGGATAGGGAGGCAGGCAGCTGGGAACCACTGAGGTGGTCCCCAGCCACCTCTGCAATCATCTACCCTGTACTCGCAGGTAGCAGCAATTTGATGGAATCATCTGCACTTCTGCTGAACTAAATGGGATGTCATTTACTTAATCCAGGAGAAGAGGAACCACCCGAAGGCTGAGGTTAGGCCCCGACAACCCCTCCCCATCCCCATCCGGGCATGGCAAATTAGTCCTACGCCACTGCAATCCGTCTCTTCTGCAGCATCATCAGGATTCTCTACTGCCACCACAATGGCCGCCGCCTCCCAACACCCATCACTTCCATTCTCCTCCATCCGCAACCACTAACTAGTATTATTTGATGACGCGCACTCACTTGTGTCCGTGATCACGACATCATCTTCTAAAAAGTCTGCCGACACTCGAATCGGTGACAGCTTTTGTGAGACCATTTGCTTTGATAAGCCTCCATGGCTTTGCGAAGTGAAAGGTCAAAATGTCGTAGGCGCTCCTTTTGTCATTTGATGCTCACCCGACATCGGATATCTACGAGGAAAGCTTATTCCCTGCTGCTGCTGCTGCCGCTGCCGACAGCTTGTGTGGCCTTTAAAAGGCTGTGAACTCTTCTTTCTTGGGTCTGCTTCTTTTGTTTGTAGTCGACTGAACTCGTGCCCACTGTCACGGCGCCCCTATCCTTGCTTTGGGTTACCGTGACTTGTACCTCTGGTGGTGTGGTGGTTGTTCCCCTTTCCCAGGAGTGTACCGGGGTGGCCTCTGTGCTTTGCTTTCGCATGGTCTCTTGGGAGGCTCGTCTGGTGGGAGCATTAAAATTATGAAATGATATAATTAGTCTTTTTAACATATTGAACAATATAAATAAATTAATAAAAAATATTAAAAATTAAAAGAGGATGAAATATATTAATCTCTGAATCGATCAATTATATGACTATTTTATAGAGTATAGAAACTGTCCGAATGTCACCATGAAATTGTATTATTACGTGGGATATGTATGCCCTTTCATCGTAGTAGTAGTTTTATTGATACTAACATTATATTTTATAAAAAAAATATATAATTTCAACATGGACGTTGGTGCTCTGACTCAATATTTCACATCGATAGATTGTTTGTTTGCACTCTATTGGACGATTTGCAATACTCAACATTCGTCTCTTCTGTACTATTTGATTTAAAGAGATCGGACACCTTTTTTGACATAATTTTGCAACATCCTTTATCACTTTTTAAGACAAATTTATAAATTGGACATCGATTAGATCTAAACCACTGGCGTATCAGATATAAACAATAACAACTAAATCAATCTTAAACATTATGGAAAAGTAATTTAAGCTCAACTAAATACGGTCTCACAACATCCGGCTATAAGGGAGCCTTAGTTTGCATTGTTTAAATCTAAATTTATTTATTTATTTATTTATTTTGCTATAAAGTTATTTTTTTAGCTAAATAATATGAATTATTCCGTTTTCGATCGATTTTATTAGAAATTTCTTCGAATCATAATATTTGTAAATATATAAATATTATATTTAAAAATCTCTAATTAACTGTTTTGATGCTTAAACCAGATCGAATCAGGCCGTTCGCGCCCGACTCGACCCGACCGGACACACATAAAACGAACCGCCTCCCATGGGACCACCAAGAACCCCTAACATCCCGCCCCGTTCGCCACCGAGCGCAGCTTCGCTCTCCCCACCCCCACCCCCACCCCCACCCGTTCCAAGAAAGACCCTAAAACCTTCATGAAACCCTAGGTTCTTGATCTCGGACCTATCTTCGTCCTGTTGCCCTCGTTTGGATTCCTCATCCGGTGCGTCCTGTGTCGAATAACCGCGGCGTGCCGGAATTCCTTCGGCCTCTCTCCCTGTGCGATGCCGCCGCGGGAGGAGAAGCTGCGGTGCACGAAAGAACCCTATATCGAGGACGTCGGTCCTCAAAGAATGTAATTTCGAAGCAAATCCTGCCCATCGTTGCAAATTCTTGATCTTCTCCCCCAAGAAATCTCGGAGGTCTCAATGTTTTCTTGATGATGCAGAAAGAGTATTCGGTTTAGCACGTTCTCGGGCGAGGAGATAAAGAAACTAGCGGAGGTGCAGGTGTGGAACAATCGAATCTATGGGATTGATTTGAGACCCGTGGAGAATGGGTTGCTTGACCCTAAGATGGTACTCTCTTGCTTCTTGAATTCTTTTTATCCTCTGGAATCTGCATTTCATCTGGGTTTTCTTTTTCTTGGCTAAGGTTTAACACGTAGACTTTTGGTTTGTCCTTAATTTATTATGTCGCTGCACCAGAGGCACCTTCTGGTCATAACTGGGTTGAATGGAATTTGTTCTTTGTAGATCTATCATTTTTGTTCAATCAATAGACGTAATCACATACTTAGATTTTGCATTAGGAATAACCTTTATATGGATATATGTGTGTCTATATATGTATGATCAGCATTAGCTAGCCAATTTGTCACAGAGGAAGGATAATCTATATGGTGGTGGAGCCATTGAACAGTACCCTATGTGTGACATCTAGAACAACAATTATTACAGAATTACAGAGCTGCTTCTGTGTCCATTTTACTTGGAATTAGGTATGTTTGTACGTGTGTCTTCCTTTGATGCTCAAGTTCATTGCAACCTCCTGTCGAAAATGACTGTAATTGACAACTATCTATCTCTTCTATTTCTCTTTTAGGTTTGGTTCTCCTACTCCATGAATTATTGAATAGGAATATTGCATTGTACACATTGCAACTTCGAGGCTGGATGTTAAGGCTATTTTCTGATGGAATTATCATTCTTTCAGAATTAGTCATTATACCTAATTGTTTTGTGTAGTGTTTCGAAGATGTTTTAGTTAAGGGTTGACTGTGAGCTGCACAAGTCTTCGACCAATGTGGGTTGAGGGAAGGTTAGATATATGTAGTCTTTTCTCACATTTAGGGAGGTTGTTCATATTGTATTAGTCATATCCATGTAGCAATACCACAACTCCATTTTGTTGCTGATTGTCGCACTTCTTCATTAAATTCTTAGAACTTTTCATATTGTTTTAAAGCTCATTTGGTTAAGAGTGAAGCAATATTTTTATTAATAAGAGGAATTGATGCATTGGCCTCCTGTGTCTACAGACATATATGGTGAAGGATACATATTGTCAAAGATTTTATGCCAATGCTAGCTCGGTGAAAAGTATGATGTTACTATAAATTGTGATATTTTCTGTGCCCTCTGACATGTATGATGGCTCATTGCACTTAAGTCAATATCGGCTGGTAATGCTAACAAACATGCTATCCTTGCTTGCTAAATCTTTGATCCTTGGTTTAGGGCTTAAGTTGCAAGATTTGTTATCATTTGAAGGCTATCACTTGATTAATGATGCTGCTTTCTTGATAGTAAACCAATGCAACTTGGGATAAGTTGGTTTATTGTCTTCACAGGCTTAATCAATTCAGCCTGATTTGACCTGCTTAACTAATTGTTTCTGGATTCAACCTAACATCAATTGGTGAAAAAAGGGTCTTTTGGTTTTGGCATTCATCCCCTTTTGGTTTGATATGTTTACAAACTTAAAAAACTTAGCACATTTGACCTGCTTAACTAGTTGTTTTTGACTTCGACCTAACCTCAATTGGTGAAAAAAAGGGCCCTTTGGTCAGTTGGTTGTGACATTCATGGCCATTTCACATCCATACCATTTTCTAGGATTATGCTTTATTCTTCAACATACTTAATTGTTAAATTGTTTTATCATCAGTATTACTGATTAAACCTAATCTTCAGGGTGCTGCTAACAAAGCCGGAGTTTGTGCTACATGCCATGGGAATTTCACTGAGTGTCCTGGACATTTTGGATATCTAAAGCTGACACTACCTGTTTTCAATGTTGGCTTTTTCAATTCTATTCTTAATGTCTTGAAGTGCATCTGCAAGGTACTTTCTTCCTTTAAGGCATGATCTATTACGATTTACAAGATTGTCTTTTATCACCATTTCTATTGTGGATTATAAACACATGCATTTACATCTGTAACCATATGTATTTTTTACACTTGAGCTAGATTTGTTTCAAGAAATAGAGGCTGCAATCCTATCATTTTAAGATCAAGCATGGATGCTCTATATTGAACATTGGGTCCATGATCTACAATGTTCATGGTGTTTGGAAACTAAAACTTATGCGATATATTGTGTGCTTATCAAACTGACACAAAATGAGTGGTGTACAAAGCGTTCATGCATGATGTATTGCTGCTGTTCTAAATATGCTTGATGAATACACACAAAATTTCAACTGGTTGATGCTTCCACACTGTCAACAAACCAAACACATTCTATGATGTTATAGCTGCTTCCTTTCCCTCCTGTTTGATGCATATATCGGGGTGTTTTTAAAAAAATAATTTTTCATTGCTGAGGCTTTCAAAAATGTTGTGGATCATGTTTAATGGAGTTGATATTCGATTCAGAGCCTTTAATATTAATTGATGGGATTGAATACTGCTCAATCCTTATGTTAGGATTATAGTTCAACCCTCTATGCGGTCATGAGCTTCTTTTTTATGGTAAACTTACTCCATTTATGCTATTTAGGCCTGTGCTAGGATACTTCTGTTGGAAAATGATCGGAGAATTTTTTTGAAGAAGATGAGAAATCCTAAAGCTGATATATTCATGAAAAATGCTCTTATGAAGAAAATCAGAGACAAGTGCAAAATTTCTATTTGTCCTTGGTGTGGAAGTAGAAACGGTCAGTAGCAATGTGTTGTTTTAAACTTTTTGAAGTCCGAAGTACTTGCTGATTACATATTATTTATTTTGGCAACAATGAGAAGCATATATGATTTCATGTTATTCATAATAATGTTTACTTGCATATATTCTCTTAAGTATTTTATATTTTTGCAATTTTTTGTTTTCATGTTTGCAGGTGGAAGGACTTGTTTTCTTGTTTGAGTTCTGTTCTGTTTTCTTCTTGTTGAACAATGGTTTTTTAATTATTCTACCCGTGCTAAGCTGACAACATGTTGCTTTTCTTTCAAGTTTATCTCACTTAGAATGGACATTGTTATACTCAAGCCATTCAAAAACAATTGTACATTCATTTGAATCAAATGCAAACAATAGTTTACCTGTTCATGTTGGATTTGCTTGCATCCCTAGTTCCAATGTTCCAATTAGTGTTGCAAACTATTGCTGTAAACTAAAGGATGTTGGTTATTGTCATCGTCATGGTTAAGGACTAAGTGGCGATGTATGTGCTACAAGTCTCTGCATCCAAGTAATGCATACATCTGCAAATTGGAGTATAAGAAAAGGTCTTTGTTTCTTAACCGTATCACAATTATCATGCCTTGGAACATACAGCAGTTACTGTTCTTGGTGGCATCATCTTTTTAGTTCACACCGAAGCATTCTAGTAATATGCTGGCATGGCATCTGCTTATGACATGGAGGCCAGCCTACATTTGTACAGGCTTCGTGTTGGCTGGCATGGTCTATTTCCAAACCACAATATTGAGATGCCCTTGGCAACACATAAAAACCTGTAGTGATATTCTGCCCACACAAGTTGATACCTTAAATCCATGGTCTGTTTAGAATCAAAAGCATTGCAATTATTGATGATTGACTGTTAATTCCTTTTATAAGGAACTTCGGCAGCAATTAGCCAATCTTAAGGAGTAGATCATTTACTAACTCTTCTCTGCCCAACTGCTAATCGAAACAAATGTGATCTCATCTCACGCTCAGATGGATCTTCTAAATGACCTTTTTTGTATATCCTTTTTATCTTTGTGTCCCTCTTGGTTGTCCCCCTTCCTGGAGTATAGGTTTCTGATGATTATGATGCTGAGCAGATATGGGGTAGTTAGCCTATCTGTTTTCAAGTCACCTATGCCTGCATCTTAAAGTGTGCCTCAAGTCACCATCCTTGGAGCTTTTGTCATGATCACTAATTTATATTTGCTCTCATTTCTTCATACTGTAGAAAGTTGTAAAAAATTCCTGTGTAATTGGCATAGAAGAAGGTGCCTTGTTGAATGGTATTTTGTACTTAATCCTAAACCTTACATGATCATGAACAAATGTATTTTGTACTTCATATATCTTCTGAAAGAAATATGTTGTGCATAGTTTTCCCGTTTTCATACTCGTCATCTAAGATGTAAATTATCTTTCTTCATGAAGTAGCTGCTTGCACTTTTGTCGGTCTTCTAGATATTCACACCCATTTATCTTTTGTAGATGCTTTTCAGGAGTATGTCATCTTTAAAATAATAAGACAACATGCAATATTTAGAAGAAAATTAAAACGTTAAACCATGGTTCATCTTACCGGTCCATACCGGTGTACTGATTGGCCATCGGTATGGTATACATCGAACTATACCGATGTACTGACACATAATATAGTGGGGCATATCGATAGATCAGTGTGCACCTCCCTGTACCGGTCCCCTATCGGATTGGTACATATTGCCTGGTACTGACCCTTTGTTGGACTAGTATGTACCGCCCATACCGGGCGATAACACTACAGTGTGGTGAACCTTGCTTAAAAGCCTCAACAGTTAATATCCATGCCTTACACCATGGTTCTATTAAATGCGTAATTAATAACTCTAAACAGCCTTCTGTGTAAGTTTTAAATTGTGACTGATCAGTTCTGATTGGCATCATTACAAAATTCTTTAGAATCGAGAGGAACCTCCCTATAAGTTACTTGATGCCCATGTTTATTCATGTATTTATATTTAACAGTATATGGATATTAGATAAAAAGCTGTTTACCTTTGATACATCCATATGAAGTTTAATGATGGGTAATTGCAAATAATTGAAGTGCCATCTTCCTTGTTGGCAGAAAGTTCTCTAATGCTTGCTTATACTTTTTTACATTTGGCTGATAGTAAAAGATATGCATGATTTATGCAAGTAATGAAGATCAACAATCCATTTGGTGTAGTTAAGTCCTGCTTTAGCTGCTTTTAACTTAATTTCTTATCAATGCAGGTGTGGTAAAAAAAGCAAGATCATCATTCGCCATTGCTCATGACTTTTCAAGAAGTGTTGATGAAAGCATAGAAGTAGTCCGTGCTGCATTATCTCACATTAAAGCTAAATCATCCTTTCAAATTGTGCACGTTTTAAGTCCAGTTACTGTTCTTTCTCTTTTTAAAAGAATGGTCGATGAGGTAAATGCTTCCTTTAATGATTGAACTTTGAATGTTAAACTACAGAAGAAAATAATAATTTGTTGTTCTTGCCTTTTCTTTTGTTTGTCGATAACTTCCCCCCGTTCTTGAGCTGCAGGACTGTGAATTGCTTAATCTTTATGATAGACCCGATAAATTAATCGTGACAACTATTGCAGTGCCACCCGTGGCTGTCCGCCCTTCTGTTTTTGTTGATTTTGGAAAATCAAGGTATGTCTAGGGCTTTTTGTTCTTTCTTTCTACAATGCATCTTAGTCACTGATCTGTTGATTTTTCATCATGCTGTTCCTTTGTTGTCTTGCAGTAACTATATCTAATTTTTGTTCATTTCAGCAATGAGGATAGTATCACTACCATATTGAAAAATATAATCAACACCAATTCTATTCTTCGAGAGGATCTTGAAGGTGCTGCTCCTCCATTCAAGTGTTTGGTAAGAGTTGTCACTCTTTAACTTCTGTTTTGGTCCTCCTTTGGAATAAATTAGTCAGCTGAAACAAATACTTGAAAGTTAAGTTGATAGGTTTGGCTTTCTTTCCATTACGAATCTATCAAAGGTTGGTTAAGTGCAGGGGCTTATTTTATTTCATATGAGGGTCAAAGTTCCAAGTGAAAGTTGTCATTGTAGGTATCCTTGGTTTATTCACCAGAGATTAGCTTCACATTTGTTTATTTTGAAATATTATAGCATGGATAGGCCAATTCAAATTAATAACAGGAAGAGAACTCTCTTTACTTTGTTTAGGTCCTTAGGACAAATTTTTTTAATTCTATCATATGAAGCAATCTTGAGAACTTCATTTTTGCAATAAGTTAATTCACATAGCTAAAGGTTTATAAATAGTATGGTTCCTATGATAAGAAGTTACATTTCTCAGGACCCTTTTTGATCTTGTTTGCATCCACTATCGGCAAAGGGTAAAAGCTAGCTACATATGATCTCTTAGCAAGTTGTCAATATAACTTAGGATCCATGACCTTGAACAGAATCTTGCAAGTCCTAGACACTTTGATTTTAGTGCTTCATTTGAGTCGAAGCAGGGTGGTCTTGGCAGAAGAGCCTTGGCATGAGCTATGGATAGATGCCTTTGTTTTACTATTTTCAGTTATTTTTCTGATTGTTGGGATATAGCAAATCCTTCGATGAAAACACTCGTTTGCTTGTTGATCTCTATCATTATATTATACTCCGTTCTCAATAGACAATTAATATTGCAGTGATGTTTTTGTTGCATATTTTCTAGAAAATTTCATGCTGTCAATGCATTAGAAAATTATTTGTATGTGTTTTCTACCATTTGTGATGAATGCAAATAAATGATTTGGCACATGCTTGATTGTCGTTGAATCACATGAGGCATTCAATGTGTATTCAATGTTCAATAAATTGATCTTGGATTTAGCAAGCTTGATTTATCCTTATTGGGCAGATTTTCTATATTCTTTCAAATAATATATAGTAATATGCTTTAATTTGCATCCTTCATCTCACGAAATTTGTTTTCTGCATAGATAAATTCCATAACATCCTTTTTCCAATGGTTGAGTGTTCCAAATCAATTATGGGCACTTGGCTGAATTTTTTTTCTGCTTTTTCTTTCAGGACTGCTGGGCTCACCTTCAAATTCAAGTCGTTGAATATATAAATAGTGAAGCTCCTTCAGTTCCTGATTCAAAACATCGAGGACTTATTCAGAGGCTCAAAGGGAAGCAGGGACGCTTTCGTGGTAACTTGTCAGGAAAACGTGTTGAATTCACTGGAAGGACTGTGATTTCTCCTGACCCGAATTTGAAAATTACAGAGGTCAACCAATTTAAAACATGTAACAAAAAAAATAAAAAAATATTTTCTATATTTATCCTCCTCACGTATCTCAATAAAATTTTCTCTTGGCTGCTTCATAGGTTGCCATTCCTGTGCTTATGGCTAAGAAACTAACTTATCCAGAAAGAGTTTCTGCCTATAACATAGAAAAGTTAAGGCAGCGTATATGCAATGGACCTGACAAATACCCAGGGGCAAACTTCATTTTATTAGGTGATGGCACGAAGCAGTAAGTAGTTAGTTATTGTAGATTCCATGGTTTGCAGTGACATAATAATATTTGCAACAGTTTAAGTGCGGAAAATTGTTGTGTAGGCATTTAAGGTATGTGGACAAGAAAACTGCTGCTAGTGAACTAAAATATGGTTATATAGTAGAAAGGCATTTAGAAGATGGAGATGTTGTTCTTTTTAACAGACAACCAAGCCTGCATAGGATGTCAATTATGTGTCACAGGGTTTGTATGTTTATCAGCAATTAATCTTCATCAGTATAGTGGCTATGATAGTCACTTGGAAGGTAGTTTCAGTAATATCTCTTCACTTTTCTTTCTGTTCATGCAGGCAAGGATAATGCCTTGGAGAACATTGAGATTTAATGAATCTGTTTGCAACCCTTACAATGCTGATTTTGATGGTGATGAGATGAATTTACATGTTCCTCAAACAGAAGAAGCTCGTACTGAAGCTCTTATGCTCATGGGGGTATATTCTTTCATCCGGTCTGTTATTGTTAGATAACAAGTTGAAATCTGGAGTACCTAAGTTCACATCATTTCCTTTAGAATGTAGGTGTTTTTGTGAGTTTATCCAATGAGATGTTTTGGCAGTCACTGCCTTTTATATGCTTATGGTATTGTGAGCTATGTATTAGCGGCACAATATCTGATATTGGTAAACCCCATATCACAATCAAGCTAGTAGTAATGCAAATTACGATTCTGGCTCATGCAACTTGTCTTTATAGAAGATCTAGCTGGTGCACACCAAGATTTAATGAGTTCCAGACCGGCTTATTGAGTCCAGCTTGTTCTTTAGTCTTTAGTCTGGGTTCAATATAAAGACATCTCATGGTTGCAAAACTGAATATGTTGGTGATATTGGAACGGAGTGAGGCCAATAGCGATATTTTCTTGTTTAGGGCCTTAAGATGATAACATATTCATGAGCATGCCTTGCATCTTTTGAGTGCTGAGTTCATGTCACATCTCTGTGCATGGGCGGTAGGAATGTTGTGTTAGTGTGACATGCAAGATGAGATGCATGTGCAAAATGGAGGTTAATGACCATTGTTCATTTTCCTAGGCCTGTGACATGCAAAATGAGATGCATGAGCAAAATGGAGGTTAATGACTATTTAATTGTTCATTTTCTCATGAACTTTGGGGTTCTGTTTGTGTTCTGCCAGGGTCTTGTTCATTCTAAACTATTTCTTATTTGTAGAATCAGATTTTTCCATAACCCTGGGTTAATCTTGTAAGTTGAGGTTGTAGCATTCCTGTTTGTTGCTTTCATGCACTTGTTGCAGTGATGGTGTGCTACTGTGGCAACAAAGGACAAATTTATTTAGTATTTTAGTTTTGTCAAAAGTGACATCAGATGATTATTTCCATCGCCGCTACTTTTTTCTAATATCATGGCCTCAAATCTGGGGTACTGAATTTGTACTAGGTTTGGATTGGTATGGGTTCGGTTCATAACTGGTATATCGATGCATGGTATACCAGCATGTGCCATGGTGTGTGGGGAGCAGGAGGTGTACCGGGTCAGCAGCGGAGGGTGGCATGAGCAATAAGTGGGTTGGCTAGCGGTGGTGGGTGGTGGGAGAGATAGTTAGGGAAAACAAATGTAATGACTTGGATCAGACCGCCTGAAGAGGGGCAGTTAGCATCCTGGTTCACGTGCAGACTACTAAATGCCACGCAGTACGCACTGGTCTAGGTGAAATTAGGAATATTGACTAATATAATTGTATCTATAGTCTAAAAATATGACAAAAAGTAAGTATATACTGCCTTGTTCATGCAATGGTTATTGATGGATGTGTAACTGCTATGGTTTGCCATTGATTGGGCAGTCAAGGAAGCACCCAATATCAATCATTGCCTTCAATGTATAATACTAAGCAATATTTGGTTTGTTTTTGCCAAGCATGTATTGGGAGTGCTTTGGTGGGTCTGGTACTACGAGAGATCTTGCCACCGTGGATTTATTGAATGCCTATCTATGTCGGGGAAATTTTTTCTTGTGCTAGGGGTGTCCAAGATCCATGGGCATAATGCACTTATGCATTGTGTCCTTAAGTTTCCTACCACAGTAAAATGGTGGCTCAATCAAGGAATCCTTCATCAATATTTGTAACTGACTTTTTCAATCCTTTCAGCCTTGGTTTCATAGGATCAAGCAAGAAAAATTGAGAGAATTATCTGATTTGAGGCCGAAAGGTGTAGTTGATGGACAATAGAAGAATATTCCTATAATATCCTTGTTGGCCCCAAGGATGATCAACGGTTCAAGGACACAAGGTGACCTTGCTTTTTTGTTTATTGATAATCTGTCAGCCACTTCCTTTCATAGAACTCCCATGGGAAGTCGAATCCCCCCTGCCTCCTTGAAAGTGAAATGTCCTGAACCACTAGAGGATAGGGGCATATCTTCCATCATCATACCATAATGGAACTGAAACTGCAGGAACTTGCAGGTTACACACAGGTCATGTATGGTTCTAGAATCGCTTCTTTTAAAGGCCCAATGAATTTGATTTGATCTTCTAAATGCTGGAAGAAATGCACAAAATAATGACAACTGCTTTAAATTTGGGATGATATTTACAAGAAATTTGTGAAATTACAAAAGGTGAGAACTAATACCATCCCAAAACTTGAACTATATTGTTGTGTTGTCTATGTTTTCCAATATTCTTAATAGTTTCTTGCATATTGGGTTGTTTTCACTTATTTTGTTTCTGTTTTTATTTATCTCTTAAAACCACATTTCGAAAGAAAATAGCTTAATATGCAATTTGCAGTTTCCATATTAAATTTTTTCCTTATATGTTGTGACATTTAAATTTAATTTAATGTAGCTTTTATCTATAGGAGTAACACTTGTGATTATATATTTATATTGTTAAAGCTTATGTACTTCTGTTTCACAGGTCCAGAATAATTTGTGCACTCCAAAGAATGGAGAAATATTAGTTGCTTCCACTCAAGACTTCCTGACGTCATCCTTTCTGATTACAAGAAAAGACACATTCTATGATCGAGCTGCATTCTCTCTTATGTGCTCCTATATGGGTGATTCCATGGATCCCATTGATTTGCCTTCACCAGCCATTATCAAGGCAAGGTTCCTTTTGCTCTTCAGTCTAAATTATATGTCATACAATGTGATTAACTAGTGATATCTCTTTTAATATTGAAGTTTGTATTTGTTTGAATGCATGGACTTTGATGGCCAAAAGTTTTTTGCCTTTGAAATTTGTTAAAAATTATCTATGAGTTGTTTTAGGCATTAGTTTCATTAAGTCGTATTTAGAGGTTGCCCCTTTGCAACCTTGGAGACTGGGAGACCAGGGCTCAAGTTACGAAAATAACCTCATTATATTTAGAGTTAGACTGCATACATTGATCCTTCCTAGACTCGTGCACTGGGTACTACCTTAGTTTCATTAAGTTATTCTCCCAGCTGTATTTAGTTTGTCGCATTAATTTGCCAATATAATGGTGCCTAATTACATATTCTTTAATATGTTCTTTGCAGCCTATTGAGCTCTGGACTGGGAAGCAGCTATTTAGTGTTCTTATACGCCCTAATGCACGTACAAAGGTGTTCTTAAATCTTATGGTCAAAGAGAAAATATATACAAAATCTGAGACTATGTGTCCCAGTGATGGATACGTATATTTCCGTAACAGCGAGCTTATATGCGGGCAACTTGGGAAGGTTACTCTAGGTAACCTTTCATCAAATCATCTTGACTAACTATGAACTTTTTTCTTTGATTTCTGATTCTGATATTTTATCAATTCATATAACTTTCATGTTTTCTGAGTAACCAATATTCTGCTTTCTTGTATCTCTTGAAGCACATTACATTTGATGATATCAAAGGTTGTTCTAGTCTTTTAACTTTTTAAGGATGCATACTGTAGTTCATTGACGGAGACACAGAGAGAGAGAAAGAGAGAGAGAGAGAGAGAGAGAGAGAGAGAGAGATAATTCGGAAACCCCCTGCAAGCACCCCAACAAAAAAGGGAAAAAATCCTTGTTCCCTTACAAAACAAAAAAAAACCTGCCTGACCTTCCCCCACAGGAAAAGAAAGAAAAAAAATGTCAGCTGGCCACTTATGTGCAGATAATGGTCAATGGGATGTAGGTGTTACTGTTATGTCAAAGCAAACTGCGGGTTTGATAACTATAGGGCTTTTTTTTTTCACATGGATTTTGATGTATACACCAAGGACTAAAATTCCAATCTGGTGCTGATACCAATCAGCTACTGGATTGGTACAATTTTGGTGGGATTGGCATACTAACACCCAGTAAGGTTTGGTACCACCCAGACCAAGAGAAAGGGGGAGAGACCTGAGGAGAGGGGGAAGGAGGAGAATGGGGGAGGAGGAGTAGGTGGAAGAAGAGGAGGCAGTGATTTAGGAGAAGTGGAGTGGGAGGAAGAGGAGGCAGAGGAGACATGAGGCGATGGAGGATGGTGCGATTCGGCTGCTGGGTGACAGTGGTTAGGTTGCAGGGAGGAGGAAGAGGCAAAGAAGGGGAGAGAGATAAAGATAAGAGATACAGATAGAAATAAAGGGTGAGAGAGAGACAGAGGAGCTGGCGGAGAAGAAAAGTAAAGGAAACAACAAAAAAAGAAAAATAACGATAAAGAATAAAAAAAGAATGGTAGGTGTATCTGGTGATAGGCTTATTGCCCGGTACTCTCGGTTTTAACTATCAAACTGGATGGCAAGTCTGGTTCAATAGAGTTACTGACGGTACTTCCTGTGCCTGATCGGACCGGGCAATTTGGAGTATTGGGTGACAGAATCATTGCCCAGTACCCTGGTTTTTGACTGTTAAACCTGAGTGGTAAGTCTGGTTTGATAGGTTTCGGCTGTAGCCCCTGTTCCTGACCAGACCAGGCGAGATTGCCCAGTCTTCATTCTATTTTCTGGTGGAATTTCAACACCGTTAATTAACTGATGTGATGTTTTCTTATTTTTAAATTACAGGGACATTCTGCATGGCATGTAGAAAAGGGGGTATCGGGTGGGATGTTGGTATTTCCACTTTTCACATACTAGTTTTGTATGTTGGTTCTTGTGACCATTGTATGTCGAGATCTTTTTAGACTTGCATGCTGTTAGCAGCAGCTTTTGATTTGTGAGCTTCCTGTGTTCGAAAAAATAGTCAACGTTACTGCTTTAGAAAATGTCATCACTTAACTTTGTCAAGTATGATTGTTATCATATGACTGTGCACGTTCAGATGATACATGTTACTTGAAATATAAAAGAGGGATTGCTTGACCTTTTAGATCATGTGTAACATGTTATTTGTTGAAGGTAATGGTAACAAGGACGGGCTGTTCTCTGTTCTCTTAAGAGACTATAATTCTCATGCTGCTGCGAGTTGTATGAATCGTTTGGCAAAATTGAGGTATCTTTCTTTTATGTCATTTTATTCATATTTGTTCACCCTTTTTATTGTAGTACATTCACTTCAAATAATGCCTTATAGTCCATAAAATATTGTTTGGTTTTTGCTGCTTGATGTGGATGTGGTTACAACTTACAACACAATCTTAATATTGATTTTATTGAATACTGTTTACATGTGTGTAACCATGAACTTTTTGTGCATAAGAAAGTGAGGAAGGGGAAAATGGGCTGATAAAAGTGAACAACTAGTCTAATTTTAATTCATGTCAATGCCTCTGATTTCACACAATATTATTACATTTTTGGCTTAAATCTTGGTTGTGGATGCTTATGTGCCTATATATATATATATATATATATATATATATACCGTTTCGGGCGGTATGTATTGGTCCGAGCATGGACCGAAATGCAGACCACCACGTTTCAGGCAATCCGAATTAAAATAATAAAATAATAAAAAATGATGGACCCTAGCCCATTTCAGCATTAAAAAAAAAGAAAAAAAAAAGCAGATTAAGGCTCTTCTCGCATAAGACGTCATGACGCTGCCTCTTCGTTGTTGCGATGTTATAGCGGCACTGCCTCTTTGTCACTGTGATGCTGTTGCTTACCTTCAACGTTGTTGTTGCTGCTGCTGCCGCTGCTTCCTAGGTATCGCTGCACTTCTTTTCCTCCTTTTCTTTCTTCTTTCTTTCTCCTTCTTCCTCCTCTATTCCTCCACCGGACCTTCCTCTTCAACCTCTTTCTATTCCTTGTCGAAACATTGGTATGCACCAGTATGGGTCACTACAAATATCCATTGTATCAACTATGAAATCTTGATCTAAATCATGGCACTGTAAATGTTTAAATTTCAATGAGCGCCATTTGAGAATGATAACCTACATTCATAAGAGCAAAACCTGATCTAAACAGTAAATATATTTTATTGTGAACAAAACCTGAGATCAGTAAACCTGATCTCATCTCCTGGTCCTTGAAATTCATTTTTCCATGATTATTATTATTCTCTTTGTGACTTGATTTTGTTAAAAAAATATAGCAAACACAATATGTGCTAGAAAGCTTTATCATCTAGTATCATCCATAATGATCACCTACTTATATGGTACTACTGCTTTGCATCTACAGTGCCAGGTGGATAGGAAACCATGGATTTTCAATCGGTATTGATGATGTCCAGCCAGGAGAACATCTTAATCAGCAAAAGAAGAAGAAAATTGATGAAGGATATAGAGAATGCCATGAACTTATTTCCTTATACGGCAAAGGGAAACTTACATTGCAGCCTGGTTGCAATGCCGCTCAGACCTTGGAACTTAAGATAACTGGTGTATTAAACCAAATTAGAGCTATTGCTGGAAATGTGAGGACACTGTTATTTTTATTTTGCACTATTTTAACTTATCTGGAGTCTCTGTTTCCAGAGATTTAGCATTATACATTAACCATAAGCTCATATTTGTGTTCGTTCCAATGAAGTCTTTTCTGTGGATCAGGAAGGGATAAAAATATGGTTTCTTTAGTTTCATACTTTTATTTGAAATTTTATTACTGAACTTCCATTGTTTTTTGTTTTCAGTAAGTTTTTTCTTTATTTCTTCTATTTCAGGTTTGTATGAATGAACTCCATTGGAGAAATAGCCCTTTGATTATGTCACAATGTGGTTCTAAGGGTTCTCCCATCAATATCAGCCAGATGGTTTCATGTGTTGGTCAGCAGTCAGTTGGTGGTCGTCGTGCTCCTAATGGATTTATAGATCGAACTCTTCCACACTTCCCTATAAATTCGAAAACTCCAGCTGTAAGTTTGATGATGTATAAATAATATTTTTGTTCTTTGAGATGTGTGTCCGAATTAGTTGTATTCTTGGCATCAAGGTTCTATCACATTTTCTGTTATGACTTCTTTGCACTTGATTGATCATAGTAAATGCATATGCTGCTCCTATTATGACAATATGATTTATACATATGAGATTTTTAGGCTTAAGCATTGTACACCACAAACTTGTATGATGTTATTTTGTGGCATGCAGGCTAAAGGTTTTGTTGCTAATTCATTTTACACTGGTTTGACGGCCACCGAGTTCTTCTTCCATACAATGGGTGGACGAGAAGGTCTTGTCGACACAGCAGTATGGATAACTGTCCAATAGCTTTTTACTTACCAATTTTCAAAGTTCATTCGACGTTTTAATTTTGTTCTTGTCTTTGCTATCTCATATATGCTTACATAATTTCTTACTTATCTAGTGTGACTAATATTGGATCTTCTGATGTATCTCTTGTACAAATTTTAGAAATGAAGATGGGCGAACATAGATATATTACTTGGAATAGGTTGAAAACCAGACCTATGTATGAAAAGGCAACCTGTGATACTCTTCATGTGTGCACAGTTCTCTTGTTTGTTTTCTCTGCACTCAGGTTTATTTGAAGTTCAAAACAGGGAAGACAGTAGGGAGGGGGCAGCTATGTGTGGATATGGTCTCATGTTTTTCTTTCTTTGGATGGACAGTCTGATAGGAAATATTGTAGTATAAAGTTATATCATTTGTCTTCATATTGGAATATGTTCATCTAACATATGTACAAGTAGGCATATGAATGCACAAGCAAGCCTTAGTGCCTCAACTGTTTAGGATCAGTTACATAGATATTTTCTTGCCACCGAACTCTTTTTGGGCAATATCACTTGTAAAACTAAGAGTAGTCAACCCAATATACCATTATCTAAGGTCTCCCGCTCTCTCTCCTTACATCACTAATCCTGATCAACTTACATTTGGACATGTCCATGCAAGTAAACTGTTTCCAACCTATTTCTCTGTTGTTTTTATACACAAATCCTTAAAACAAACATGAACATGGTATGTTTTTATAGATTTCATTCTTAAGTTATTGATCTCTAAGGTGCTAGTTGGACAGAACATTGAGTGGATGTGATACTCACCTGACTCTCCAATTTTTCAGTTCTAATTATTTCAATGGCATGCATTGCTTGTGCCATAAATTTGTCCTAATGGCCTGCTTATTTCTTCTGTCCAAGTTTCTCCAAAATTTTCGGCTCTAAGTTTCTCTCACTCATGTGGTGGTTGTATGAGACTATAGATCACATGACACCTATTACATGGACACAATTTACACTTGGTGATTTTCATTTAGCTCCTTGTAAACTTTATTTATTTTACTTTTTCCACATTCACCTGAACATTTCATGTGTTTTCTGTGATTATTTGTAGTTCTGTAGTTCCTACATAATTGAGCCCTAGGCTCTTAGTTATGTATAGGACTCTTGGTTGCTTTTTTTGTTTCCAAACACTATTGTCGTAGGAGTTTCATGTGTGGATCCTCTGAAAACTAAAATGTCTGTATCTGATTCTCTTATTGGTGTTCGTGCAACACAAACTTGATGCATACATATGATTTGGAGTGTTTGAATCATATAATGTCCATAACTTTTCTGTTTAAGGGTATTCAAGGGTAATGAACTTCAACCTTGTTTTGCTCCTTCGTCATGCTTGTTTTTCCTCTCAAGAGGGCAATGAACTAGATAAATTTTGACAAAATTCACTGCTCAAGTAATGAGAAAAGGGAAATTTCATTTTTTTTAATATTAGCTTCTGAGTTGTACTGTTTTAATTCTTAGCATACTTTTTCACTTTATGATATGCTGTAATATATGTGCCAAATTTCTTCAGTTATCAAATTTATGCTTATTTGCTGCATAGTAGGTAAAAACTGCAGAAACTGGATACATGTCTCGCAGATTGATGAAAGGTTTGGAAGATCTCTCCATTTATTATGATGAGACAGTGCGCAATGCTAGTGGAGGTATAGTGCAGTTTCTTTATGGAGATGATGGCATGGATCCAGCAAAGATGGAAGGAAAGGATGGCATTCCCTTAAATATGGATCAGTTATTTATGAAAGTTATGGTTAGTATAGTTCAAATGCAACTATTGAAAAAGTTCTGAAAGATTTACATCTCCAGAAAATGCTCATCTCTTCCAAATCACAGGCTACCTGTCCTCCTAGAGAACATGACATGTTATCTCCAACGGAAGCTTTACGAATTATGGATGACAGACTGGCAAAATATGATATGTCCCCCGAGGGTGGTTGCTCTGCTGCCTTCAAGAAATTGCTCTCTGATTTCGTTCATAAGCGTGTATCTGCATTGGCAAACATGAGGAAATCACTTAAACTTGATGAAACTGATATGGGGAGAAAGGATTCCACTGTGTTGGAAAATGTTGCTGCTAAGATATCTGGAATTAGTTCTAAACAACTGGAGGTTTGTCTTGGCATTCTGTGTTGAATTACATTTATATCATTTGCAGATGTGGAAGTCTAAACATTAGTTCATTTGATTTCATGTCAAATTGGTATTGAAGAATGGAGTTCTTTCGAGAAAGAAAAACAAATTTGCACATTTTGTTTTTTAACAGTGATAAGTGATAACATATAGTATAAGTGACCAAATCATTCAAGCATCAAACTTCTATGTTTCTTGCCCTTGGTTTAACTTGGTTTTTACATTTTAGTTGTCTATATTCATCCTGCTACCCTGTCATCAACATTGCAATTTGTGTGCAATGCTATATAATGTGATAGAGTTTCTTGTTTCATGTACAAGCTCCCTTTACAACTATGGTCTCTGACAACTATTACTCTATCATCCTAAAAGAACAAGCCCAAGATATTGTCTTGTCCTAACATCTGAACTTGTCTAGCTACAGTGTAAAACGAAGTCCTTAGACAAACTAATATATTAATTGAGAACAATAATAAATATTGAGATGTGTCCACTGCTTATAAATATTCGAACAATAGTAAATATTTCTGATATTTGTGATCCTTGGTTATAGGCATATAATAAATCTGAATTAATGTCCATGAGTTGCTTGTATGCTTATGATGTTTGTCGAAATGAGATCTTGGTTTAGGAGAAGCTATAGTTCGAATATAGTATTGTCAGAGAAATTTCTTAGATATGATCATTTGAAAAACTCTTCATATTTAAATTTTAAATTTTATTGCAGGTTTTCTTAGAGACATGTATATCACGCTATCACTCCAAAAAAGTTGAAGCTGGAGCAGCCATTGGTGCAATCGGAGCTCAAAGCATAGGAGAACCAGGAACACAGATGACGTTGAAAACATTTCACTTTGCTGGAGTTGCTAGCATGAGTATCCTTTATTTGATATTATGTTACTTGAAACTAGTGTCTGCCGTACCGAAGCGTACCGGCCATACCGGGCGGTACATACCGGTCCGCCAGGTACTCGGTACGCGGACCGTCCTGTACCGCTATAGTGCTACAGTACTACACTGTAGCAATGCTACTGCTCGGTACACCGGTACCGTACCGTACCGAGCCCGGGTCGAAACTCCGGTACGGTACGGTACGGCGGACCTTGCTTGAAACATCTATTTGTAAGTTATCTATTAGTCTTGGTCAAAATGTTTGTGTATGTGGTTGTTTCCTCCATGGATTTAACCTAAATCTCAAGCCCATTTCCTTTCTCTCGCATTCATTCATGTCTAATTCTTTTAAGTTACATGTGATTTCACAAACTAGAGAATCTGTCATCTCTGATAGTAGTTGAGGATTTCTAATTGATAAAGTTAAATAATTGTTCCATCAAACAGGTTTATTTTTCCAAAAAGGAAAAAAAAAACTGAAAGCTTTGTTATTCAAATTTGTGTTTATTTATATGTAGTCTAATACTTGTTCCATCAAACAGGTTTTTTTTTCCAAAAAAAAAAACTGAAAGATTTGTTATCCAAACTTTTGTGTATATATATGTATATATTATAAGCATATGAATATTGACAGGGATAAACACAATTCATATTTCATATTTATCTCCTGTATGGACTTGTTTAATTCCTAGTGATGGCTCATGTTTTGTGTGCATGGTCTTTCTTCATTACATCAAATTTGGAGCTTGAGGTCATATTTATTAAAATTGGTCTACTTTTGTGGTTCAAAATGATAATGAAAGCCCCTTCTGTCGCATTGCTATAGGCTTCTTAACACAAAAGTTCTATAAATATTTTATGCTGTCTCACTTTGGCATATTACTGTATGGAAGCCTTGATAACATTGCTTTTCTGATCATGTTTGTAACTTAAAACTCTGATTTTCATCTCAGATACATAAACAAATAACATTTCCAGTACTTACCATAGCTTGTATATGATCACTCACCTTTTAGTTCCTAATTAACACCTTATGTGACTCCACAGGATTGTGTTTGTGGGTGTCATTCTTTTAGTTTGACTCTGATATTTTCTTGATATATTCTTTTTACTTTAATTACTGAAATATTGTGAATGCCCTTTCGCATTGTAAGTTTTTTCTTAACCAACCATTAGATGTCACACTCGGTGTTCCTCGTATCAAGGAAATAATAAACGCCTCCAAAAATATAAGCACACCAATTGTTACTGCTACACTTCTTAATGGTCGTGATGTTTTATCTGCTCGTGTGGTGAAAAGCTGTATTGAGAAGACCGTCTTAGGGGAGGTATGCCTTTTTAATGCATTGGAGGTGGTGTCTTATTGGCTAACCTTTATCTGTAACAATGAGATCAATGTTAGTTATTTTCCAGTGTCAGGCATGCCTTATGAACTGTATGTGCAACTTGCCATCTATTTAAGTCATTGTCCATTGTTTGCTTTTGTTTGTCATGTTATCTGATGATTTATTATCCTCAAGCATAGTTTCAATGCCGAAAAGCTTCAATAACATCAGGTTCTCCACACTTTGTGGTTCGGTGAATTGTGTATGGTTAAAGGAAAATATAAGATAACAGAGATTTGAGGCTTTAAGAAATTAATGTAATGGTGGAATAGAATAATTGGGGAAGAGAGAAGGGGAAGATAAGAAATAAATTTATTTCTTAGACTCACTCAAAGCTTTCTACACTCACTTAGGGGAAAATTTATTTGTTTTGCTATTTACAATCCCTTTCCCCTTTTTATAGCCTCCCCAACTAGAAGAAAAGAAAATACAAAAGAAGAAACAAAATACAATTAATATATAACATTAACATAAATCAATTATTTATTCTTTTTTTCTTGAGAAGGGTAAAATTTCAGATTTGTGTAAGCATTTGATTAATAGACTTTCATTTATGTATAATCTTGAATCATGCTGAATCACGTGTATAGACAGAATCTTCAGTCAAGTTGTTATTTACAATCAGAATAAAATTTTGATTTGCTCCATTCTTTGTGCAGGTTGCTAAAGCATTGAAGATTGTGTTGAAATCTAGTCGACCATACATAGTCGTCAAACTTGACATGGATCTAATTGAGGCCTTACATATGAGGGTCTCTGCTGAGTCTGTGTGTCACTCAATCCTAAACCATCCAAAAATAAAATTGAAATCTGAGGTAAATGTCGTACTTGGAACTTCCTTTTTTGTTGCTTATCTTTTCCAGTGTCATTCTCCAGTGGGTAGCTTTCTTTCAGCATATAAATAACATAGGCAGCGACAAGTTGAAGATCTACCCCCCAGAAGCTGATAGAAGAAAGCTTCAGTTTGAAATGCACTCTCTAAAAGCGATGCTTCCAAAGGTTATTGTGAAGGTGAATTGCATAAGCTGTATTGGTATCATTAAGAATTCCTTTTAGACTGACTATATTTCACAATAAAAATCTGTGGACCGAACAATTTTTCATCAAAGTAAGGAAATAGTATCATGTTTCTAAATATTAGGGTATTCCGACTGTTGAGCGTGCTGTCATCAACGAAACAAATGGAGTATACAACCTACTGGTTGAAGGGTTAGTATGTTAAGTTATTCTGTTGTTTTGTAAATGCACATTTATAGCAATGCTATTACTCATGCTTTCAATGGATATGCTGATTAAACTTTGATGCATTTTAGAAATCAAATTGCCATGTCTTATGATCTTATAATTGTTAGTATTTCCTTCAACAAAGGATATGGGCATTTGATATCTTAGAATAGTGAACACCAGTTTAGTGTCTTTTTTTAACTAGATTAGTAGATAGAGTTGCATGTACGGATTGCAAATCATACTAGGTGAAGCTTGATGAGTCAAAATAGATTGGTGATTTTAAATATTTGTTTTAGAACATAGAAAAGAGAAATGATAGTAAGTAATTTTACGAGAGTCCGAGGGACCATAAAGACAATAATGTAAAACTTCTCAAAGGTAGGATGGAGAAGGAAGAAGTTTGGAACTTGGACATAAACAGTAGTAATATACAATGGATTCTGATAACCACTAAAATTAGGAATGTGACAAAGGAGAACCTAGAGAATCTAAAGGTAAATATGTATTTTCAAAAGAGAGCTAATGGTGGTGCGAGGAAGTTAAAAAAGAAACAACTGTTAGATGAGTATGCTTTAAAGATTGCAAAAATATATAAAATTAAGCAGAATTTTGATAGATATGTATAAGTTAATAAAGAGGGATCAAACACACATGATAAAATACAAGGGCTTATGATGATTTTTATAGTTAAATATTTATTAAGAATAAGAATTTTTTTTTTTGCAACCTTATAAAAGATTAGAGATTTAGGTCACATAGTTAAATGTTGTCGTCATCCTCTGCCTGATGGTTAGCAGCCCAGAGTTTTGATGCTAGTCCTTGCTCTGTCCACTGGCTAGATTTTTGCCTGATACTCTTGCATTGCTCTTTTAGCAACAGAGAGAATTAGCTGACTTTTCTGGACTTCTTTGAATGTAGTACAAACCTTTTAGCTGTCATGGGTACTCCAGGAATTGATGCAAGTAAAACAAGAAGTAACCATGTCATTGAAGTTCAGCGGACACTTGGAATTGAAGCTGCAAGGCAATGCATCATTAATGAAATACAATATACCATGCGTGGCCATGGAATGAGTATAGATACTCGCCATATGATGCTTCTGGCAGATCTAATGACCTATAAGGTAAGGCATTAGATGCATCTACCTTCTGGCTGCAGCCCGGCAATTAAGGATTTCTTTAATGTTTAAATGTGTAATCTTTTGTGATTGTTTGTAACAGGGAGAAGTGCTTGGGATTACAAGATTTGGCATTTCAAAAATGAAAGAAAGTGTTCTGATGCTAGCATCTTTTGAGAAAACTGCAGAGCACTTGTTTAATGCTTCGTATGGTGGAAGGGACGATCAAATAGAGGGTGTTAGCGAATGTATTATAATGGGCATCCCCATGCAACTTGGAACTGGAATACTGAAAGTTAGACAAAGGTACATATATAAATCAACATGATAGCAAATATGGTCTTTTAATTTAATTTATTTCATGCTCATTAGCAGCGTTTTGGTCTTAAATCTTAACTGCAAGTTTTTGTTGAAATGTCCTTTTCTGGATAAGATAAATTTATCTGTTAAAATTATGTATTTATTAACAAGAGACCATGTATAAATGTTTTGCAATTAGATAATAATGGTGTATCATGACACGAGTCCATGGGTGATTAAAAAAATAAAAACACACGCAGACAAACCAAGGTAGAGGTTTGTCTGATGATTTTTGATATTTTTGAGGAAACATTATAAGGGCCAAGAGTGTAAAAAATGATGTGCCAACAATGGGGGTGCTTTCCCCTGTTGTTTGAGATCCTACGGAAGGATGAATTTCACCATGTTGGGAAGGTTATTATTTAATCGGCCCCGAAGCAAGTGGTTCCCTATACGAGGGGAAGCTACTCTGGCCAACCAAGGTGGTGGATCCCCTCATTTCACCAGTTTTCACTACTAAAAAGAAAAGGCCCAGAAGTGCAATGCTCTCCTATAGGAGGATAAGCTCCTCCATTGTTTACCAGTGTTTACTATATTAGGGACAACACAGACTCCCAACCCATAGCAAAGCAATGGCATGGACTCCCAACCCATAAACAAGTAAGCATTAGTAAACCAGTTTGATTAAGCAGGTCTCCTTAATGGATTCTCTCTATAAGAATTATAGGGGTTTTGTGTTAATTTTGTTTTTCTTGGTTCAAACTACATATTCAATTTAATTATCTTGATTTTAAGAATTATTGAATAATATTCTTATCTATTTTGTATTTGAATAAAGTTTGATGTGTAATTGTCATTGTAATTTTATTTCATATATATGGCATGAGTTCGAGGCCTTAAGGGCATTTATATGATTAAATTTGTGCTATGAAAGTAATCTCATCACCCACATAATCCTGCCATAAGAAGACTAGAAATATCAGAATAGGTTCCTAATAGGTAAACAACTTATTTAATATATGGTTAACTATATTAGCATAGATATTGAATAGATTCAAAAAGTGAGGGAACCAATTGAAAATTCATTTAAAATTAGTCTTTCTTGCCCTTTTCGAAATTGGAGCCAACTAATGTTATCAGGCTTGTAATCTATGGTCAACTGGTCTGATGCTTGTAATCTTTCATATGAACTGATGCGCCTCAACCTGGTGAAAGATTTTCTTGTATATTTGTAACAAATAAACTAAAGATATGAGGTTTCAAATTCTTTCTACGAAAACTAAAGTACAAAGGGTTCACACCATATGTAGGTGGTATATGATCAGAACATGGCATAAATCTAGCATGCCAATGTTGTCAAAAATGAATGTCTATCCACTGTGATTAGGTTCGGTAATAAACTACCAAAAGAATTTTGCTAGCGAACCAAATTGCCAATATCGTTATTTTTTATCTACTGGACTTTAATATGAGTAGGTATTGGTTCTGTATGCAAGCATTATGGAAAAAAATTCATTTAGTGCCCTTAGTTCTGATAAGAATACCTTATGAAATACCTTATGCAGAAGATAAATACATTGCCTAATGATGAACTCTTTTCCATCAGGGTGGAGAAGCTTCCTGAATTGAAGTATGCACCTGATCCAATTATAAGTTGAGAGATTTAACAAAAGCTTTTGCAGCATCAACATGTATTTTTCCGTCAATGCTCACCTGAAGATTAGTGCTTCTCTGATCTACTGGAGGAGTCTGAACTAAAGAAAGTAAGCAAATTCACTTCTTGGAACGGTTCATTCTTTCTGCTCTGACATCACCCATGCTGGAGTAAAATATCTATGCTTGTACTCCATGTATCATACAATTTTTGTATCATATCCTGAACTGCAATTATTTTTTATAACTCGATCTAGAATCATCGAATCGATACAGGCTGCTTTGTGAATGCACGTCTGCCTGCTGGAGGATATAGAAGCCAGAAATTGGTGCAAATAACAGCATCATCACGAATGGTGATGGCTACCAGAAGCTGCTGCTGTCAACTGTTTGAATCAGCTATATAGATATACATTGAGATTTTTCATTAATCCTTTTTTTTTTTGTGTTTTGGGGTGCGCTGGTTGATCATACAAAAATCTAAACAGGTCATGTTTCTTTCAAGTTGGAACTGGGTTGATTTTGGTTAAACCATCTCTGTTTGGAGCAACCAAATTAATATTCTATGAAGGTCTCTAACAACTCTATATCTGTACTGAATTGCTATTGAAAAATCAAGGTGACCTGTTTTCAGCTGACTAATAGAAAGTTGGTTGTGCCATGAGCTCGGGAGGGTCAAAGGCAATTTTGACGAATTTTATTGAAGTGAAAGAGTGGGAATGGTCATAATGTCAGAAAGTATCGTTCGATTCAGATGTGATTATAAAGCAACCCTTTTAGCGAACGAAAAGCCACCGTTGGTAGGAAAACTAGGACTTAGTTGGAATACTAGGGTGGGGATCGAAAAATAGAGCTCCGAAATCCCACTGGTAAATTAAAATTGGTTTTGGAAACACCGAAGCAAATCCCTCACCACAGAAACCAGAAACGACGCCAACCTTCGGCCCGGGTAACTAAGGGTAGGTATGACATTTCATCCGCAAATAGGAAGTTGGTCGTTGACCCTCGACGTTGACCGCTAACCGCTGATTACGTAAGTAAACGACTCTTCTTCCCATCCTCCGCCTCCTCCTCTCTCTCTCTCTCTCAACGTTGATCGCTGACCCATTCGCTTACTCGCTTCTTTCTTGGCCAATTAGAGCGGCTTCTTCTCTGCTGTGACCTACAGCAACTCATTAGCAGACAGTGGGAAGGAAGATGGCCGCGGCGGTGCTGATCATGAAATCCAAATATAAGTTTTAAAAGTTCACCGATCCCAATGCGAAAACGATCAAAATATGTAATTAGCGATGCACGTGCGGCCTCTTCAGTTACGAGCCGGTCATTACTTAATCGATCGGGTCTCCGTTACGATCCTCGTGATGGAGCGCTCACAGGTGGAAGCAGGAAGGGATGGTCGTGAATCCGAGCTCACCGTTGGATTTTCTGCTCCACCGCAAGCTCTTCTCGATGGCCTTTTTTGAGGTACATTTCGCTTTCTCCCTCGTCTCTTTCGCTTGCTCTGCTTCGCCCTTCGGACCCTCCGATTCCTTCCCGGTGAGCGAAAAACGCAGCTTTCTTTCTTGCTTGCTTTTTTGGAAAAGGGGATCGGGTTCTCAGTTGTGGCTCATGATCTTGACTCGAGAAGGAAATGGTTTTTGCCCTCTTATGGATGTTCTCGGGGTTTTTCTTTTTCAGTTTTGCGGGTAATTTAGGCAAACGAACGTTGATTTTAATCAATCGAAACTCTTCGCTTCCCACTCGTTTGGCTGGAAATAGTGTTTTCTTTTGCCCCAAGGAGAAATGTAGGGTTTGGGTTCCAGTCTGGGAGCTTTCATGCTTCTCCTGCAATTGGGTTTGCAAGTTTCTAGTGAGCCCAATATCCGAAAGCTCGCATCGCATATACCAAAATCTAGCTATAAGCCTCTAAGAAGGCCTGTGATAAAGTGATGTGGTGGAAGTGATGCGATAAAGAAAGCATGATAGGAACCAACGAGTAGTGGATTGGCATGACCTTCATTTTTTATAACGTGTCTGCGAAGCACTCTTGTCTTCTAACTTACGTCAGATTTTATTCTTCTCTGGAGCTGAAAATATGATTTTGTCATGCTTTGATGAATGTTTTTGGTATGAAATTCCGTCAAAAAAAAAAAAATCATACCATGCTTTTGTTCCTATCATAAATGATGTTCTTTGATGTTTACAATTGTGCGGTTTTTGCCTATAGTTAGACAGGCACAAAAAGCGGAAAAAAAAAAAAAAAAAAAAAAAAAGAAGATGAAGCAAGAAATTCCACTTCTTCTGATCTATAAATATCTCACTTTAACTATCTTCTGATTCTTTTGGACTATTCTTTGACTCTAATTAGGACTTAACAAACCTTCCAAAGTTACTAATTAGAAATAAGAATAAAAATACTTCCCCACCAAGTATGACTCTCCTTAAGCAGGACAGTTAGCTGTGGCTCAATTGGATCTTGATTCAAATCTTGGCTTAGGGATGGTGTCTTTTTGACTTGAGGAATTGATTTTTTTTTTTTATTACCCTAACAGATCAAGTTGTCGTCATGATGCATTTCCTCGCTGAAGTGATCTGAGCATCAAAACACTTTAGCACATTAGATTATACATACTGCACCAGAGTACTGAGGGTGGCCTGAGGTGAACTCTTGGCTTATATTTCCTTGTCTTTGGGAACGAAGGTATATCTCTTTCATGTACCTTAAACTTGATTCCATCTGCCAATTAACATTTGCTAAACCATTAACAATGGAATATGAATTAAGAAACTATGCCATACTGCGGTCTATACTGCAAGTGAGAAGAATTGCATATACGTTCGATGTAATCATTACCTTCATGAAGAAGAAGCTGAGAGAAAAATTGTTACCTATGTTCATCGAGACATTCTACCCATCATACATTTCATAAGGAAATTTTTCATGCTTTCTAATACTATTTCATGCCATTTAGGGGGAAAAAAAGAACAATTGGGAAAATATATGTTCTGAAAATTATTTGGAACATGTTGCTATTTTTAAGGAACAATATTCTTGCACTCGAGAACTCTTTTGCTTAAAGCAACTGGTGGACTTCAAGAGCTCTATAATTCTCAGAAATTACTTGTAAATTTGATTATCCGATTCTTTTCTAGGGTGGTTGTTATTCTTTTTGTTTTGAAACATATGCAGCATTATTTTTGTTTTTGATACGTGTAGAAATTTTTGACACATGAAGTTATTTGATTAGCTGATTCTTTTCTCAGGTAGTTCCCTGCATACCCGTAGAAGTTTCGACAACTCTTTTTTAAAATAAGCACTTCATTTTTACGTATCTTTTTATGATCATGGAGAGAAACAAATTCTGTAGTTATGATAGTATTACTTATATTTTAAGGCTAAATTTGTTAACATGAGCACGACTTCTTGTGCTACTCTGGTAATGCTACTTTTGCAACTAAATAGCATTCATCGAGACACTTCCCTCTGATTTCACTTATAAGAAAATTGAACTTAGGTATTGAATGGGTACCTATAAATCATTCATTTCAGGTATATTCTTTAGATGAGCTTTTTATTCAATAGTTTGTAATGCGGAACTTGAAATTTAGACACATTCTTTATTTGTCAGAACCAGTTAAGTGTGTTGTTTCACAGCCGATCAACAACATATATATATATTGTTTTAGAATCAGTAGGTAAATACCTTATATGAGATATAAAAAAGGGTCTGTTATGTTAGAAACTTATGTTAAATCAACCATGTCTTTTGACACATAGAGCTGTTATTGGAATATAACACAAAATGGAGGATGTGAAACAAGTAGCCTAAGATGAAACTTGGAATTGGTTTTTATTGACGATTGTTGGGGACATTTATTCTTGAAAATACTAAGACAAACCAGTCAAACAAGCCACTCTGTTTTCTTTTAGACCTTGATTTTACATATAAAAGATAATCCAAAAGTATCGGAACCCTTTTGTTTGTTTTTCTCCTAGTCTTGGTATAGAAGAGATGTATTTAGGAGCCGTATACGGTAAAGCTTGGCCCTTGGTGACATTTTAGAAAAAGATCGAGTGAAGTTTGGCCCTTTTTCAGGAATAAACTGACATAAGCCATCACATCTTGTTTTTTCGTAACCAAATCTGAAGATCTGGTTTTTTGTATTTTGTTATTCACTTCATACTTGATTTGATTATGATGCTCCTTCGACTTTGTAGGATACGTTCACTCAACTGCAATTATCAGACACCGATGTATAGCAGCAGCCACATCGATCGTTATCAATTGTTTTTATTATTACACTATCTCCCTATGATATTTTGCATAATCTAATGCCATGTGTCCTACATCTGTTGAGTCCTAAAAGAAACTAAATTGACTTGACTCTTGAGAGAGATGATCGCAAGGCATTTTGTTTGCAGGATTCATGGCCTAAAAGGGTGGTGCAGAACTGGTCCTCGAGAGGCAAAAAGTAAACCAACGAGTGACTGAATTAAAATCGATTACTAGTGTTGCTTCTAAGTGGACTTGCTTATTCAAACAAATATCAATTACATTCTTTAGACTTAAGGTCGCATTCTTATGCATGGAAGACCAAATTTTATTTCCAGTGATCATGGTCAACACATTTCTTCTATTTGTTTGCCTTGATATCTTAATGATTTTGTGATGCATTCGTCAGATGGCAATCGCATCAGGACTCGGTCATATACAGAGAGGTGCAGTTTAATCTTTGGCAAAGCTTGGTCTGATCCACTTGCAATTAGCTATAGCTCCAGCCTGCTGGAATACGGGGGGAGGTTAGAATTCCTTATTCCCAAGTCTTTCTACAACATAAATGCTTCATGGAAGAAGAAGAAGAAGACCTTGTCAAACAAACTATGACCATTTTTTGGGAGAACGTCTTGTTGGACTCCACAGACCATTTGATGGGAGAAGAAGGAAGCAAGTGTTGGGTGACCAACATAATGTCGAAGGGATCCATGCAGCCTTCTCTGTCGTTTGAGTTTGCTGCGTGACAAGACATCCAACAGGAGAGTTGGTTGAAGGATTCAAACCTAACAACAACAATTGTGTCGAGGTGTTGCAGTTGAGAAGAAGCGGCCACCATTGTTCTTCCGTATCCGTTTCTGTTTCGATTTTCTTGAAGCTACAAGAAGAAGTTTGCGCTTCGCTTGCCGTCGAGTAAAGCGCTGGACTAAAGGAGGAGGAGGAGCACACACCACCGTGCATGAGGTATGCCTGATGCCACATCATATCATGCATGCATTTATCCTGCTGATGCTTTTGGGGTTATTTGTTGTGCAGGGGGAATTAATTATTTGTTCTCCAGTGGGGGGAATTAAATCCCAAGATTCTACACTTGGATGGTGTGCGAGGCAGCGCTACTCTATTCCTTATTCTCAAAAGAAAAATGGGAAATCATATATGAAGTACCTCAAGGCATGACGACTACGACACACCGACCGAGGGAACCAGAAGAGATGACAGTAAGAGTCTCGATCAAAGGCATGATGATGATGATGTCTGCTGCATTCACCCTTCACTGTACTCCCATCCTTCCAACCTCTTCTTGCTCGTTCCACTGGGTAAAAAGCTCGAGTCTTGGGCAAGACAAAAAGCCAGCAAGGGCTTTCTCACTTTGGGCAGGGCCATGGAGTCGCCAATCCTGGAGTACAGCTCCGGGCCCGGTGTGTATCGGATCGGGTTGTTACTCCGATGTTGGCTTCATCAGCAAATCACCGCTGCACACGCGCCGGGGTGGGGGCGCACCCCCTCCCCCCGCGTTCTCGGGTGTTTCTCCCAATTAGATGCCTGTCGTCCACCTCAGGACTCTCCCACCTATTAATTAATTCCCCTACCCTCTCTCGACCATCGTCATCTACCCGCCCAAACCTCCAATTTTTTAGACCGTTTCTTCCATTTCAATCTCTCTCTCTCGAGCTCCATGCAACCTGCAACTCCCTCTTAGAGAGAGAGAGAGAGAGAGAGAGAGAGAGAGATTTACCACCAATTTACTGGTCCCATAGCGTCCAATTTTGTTTCGAGCGAGAGCGAGAACGAGAGAATGAGGCTCTCGAAGGAGTTCATGGACAGCCCCCTTGGTGATCGCGGGGCGAATGACCTGGAGAGCGTCGTCGTCCAAGGCGACCATATCCAGACGGCCGCCGCCGATTCGGTGGTTCGCCACAAGTCATCCGGGTCGTCGAAGAGCTTCGCGCGGACCCTCCTGTCCCAGCCGTCCAAGATCATGATGAGCTTCAGGGAGTCCGTGAAGAGCCCCAGCTCCAGGATCCAAGCCCTTAGGGAGAGGAGGAACGCCGGGAGGATGAACCGGGTGACGTCCAGAACGCAGATAGGCCTCGCGGGGCTCCGCTTCCTCGATAAGACGTCCGCCGGTAACGACGGGTGGAAGGCCGTCGATAAGCGGTTCGGTCAATTTGCCGTCGAGGGGAGGCTTCCCAAGGAGAACTTCGGCCCCTGCATCGGTGAGTCCCTCCATCTCCTGCTGATAAATATGTAACCTAGGGAGCTTAATCTTGCAAGTCATTTCTCCACCCAATTTACAGATTAGAGTAGAGGAGAATTGAATCTCGATGCGGGCAATTCATAGTCTACCAAAAGAATGTTTCTTGCACATCGTGAAGGAAATCATTTAATGGCAGCTAAATTGTTCCTTCATCATCCTCCTCCTCTGTTCTTGTCGGGTTGGGATCGGATAAAAATCATCGTGTCCAGAAAGCAAATTTATCTGAATAAAATTATACAGGAACAAAACCAATAATTTGCAAGTGTTGATGAGGAGAAAGCAATGAATTGAGAAAACAAATGGAAAAAGACATTCCATCAGCGAAAATCTCTCTCTCTCTC